AACTAAGTGTAATTTTTTCTTTATTTAGTACTATTTATTTTCATGTATCCCTTTTCTTCTGTGTGGAAATGTAATTTATGTGAAAAAAAAAAAATTTTTTTTTTATACCTTTGGGGGTCTGCAACGGATTAATTGGGTTTTTATTTTTTCTTTGGAGAAAATTAATTAAATAACGAAAATTGCCAAAAGATAACTCTTGGAATGGATTAATAGTTGGTCGAGGGTTTACTGTATATTTATTACACACAAATCACGGACATGGTCCAGAAGGCTCCCCTGTGGAAGGGCTTTGAAGCACGGGGGTCATCACATGGTGTTTTAAACTCCACACCATAAAACAAAATGTCTCTGCTTGTTGTGGGCGATTTTTTTTATGTTACAACAAACACTCTTCTGAGCCTTTTTTTGGAAACATACAGGGCATTTTGTTAGGGAAATGATCACCAGGCCCCAAAAAGGTATTGTTTTATAATTTGGTGGGCAATTTCTATTGCAGTTTTTACTTGGTACTTGAAAAATATTTTTCGATGACAGACAAACAAAAATTTTAATGGTGGTTTTTTTCTGGTCCTCATCTTTTAAAATATTATGTATAAGCTTGGCATGGGAAAATTTCCCAAAAATGGAAAAAGTTTTTGTCCACTAAACCGTGAAAACAATCAGCAACCCCAATTTGCATACACATTTTTCCTTGAATCATATTGAGGTGTAGTCCATCCAGCTGCAGGGTTTTAAATGGTTCCTGGGCCTTTTATTCCCTCCAAAGTCGTCATTTTTTTTAGATGAAGATGACAACAGTGTACACTTGCTTGTCCTGCCCCGAAATGCCATGATGTCAAAGGCACAAAAGCCCGCACCTGACCTTATGAGTGCAGCGTTTAACCCAGGCATATGTTATAATTTCCATGCACTGACCGCACACATCTGCTGTCCTTGCAAAAAAAAACACTGAGTAAGGGCTTGTGTACAGTTATCAAGTAAATATATGCCCTTTCCCAAAAATGGTTCCTCATTGTTTAACCCCATCACCCGAATACTCAAAACTTTCCGGTATCTTGCAAAGTATTACTTCCTGTTACACAATAATTCCAATGCAAGACCACTGTAGCAATCAAAAGCAAAAATTTATACAAAGCTTTTTTCTTTCTTGGTATATACTCTTGAATACCTTTGAACATAATCAAAGACTTATCATTAACAAGCTTCCTAAAGGGGATAAAAATACATATTGAATTTCTGTCTCAGATACACAAACACATTCCTAATCTTATATAACCTGTTGTTTCTGTCAGGCCTGGTTTTGTCTGAGAAGTGTGGCATATGCAACAGTAGCACAAATTGATACACTCGTATTATATCACTAAAACCCTGGCATTGCAATCGGGCGGTCATTTTAAACCAGTATAAATTTGACACTGTTTTATACACATGTGCATAAGATTATTGTGGCAAAGAAAAGATACATCTCACTACAGTTGTCTCCTTCCCCCTTGTGTAGGCGTGATTTTGGGGAAAGTATTGTGTTTACCATGGTGTAATCAAAATATCTGTTTCTTTCCCTGACAATAACTTCCATCAGGGGTTCGTCAAAGAATAACTCAAAACATTCCAGTTCAGTGGCATTGTTCCCAAGTTTACAAGATGGGCCCTATTTCACTTTGACTTTCATCAAACTGATGGGAATTGGGAACATAATTGTCCAGCTTCCGCCAATCCAGTGTAGTTTGCTAGTGGGTACTGGATATTGCCAGGTGGTTGGGTTGTGGAGGTTGGTGTGGTGGGTGGGGGAGGGTGCCTTTATTGTAGCTCAGCTGAGTCAGCAATGTGGTAGCAGCATGGCCCACTGCTGGTGCCTCACAGCTGGCACCACCACTACCACCAGAGCATGCACATTTTTCACCCCTCACAACAATGTCATCTTCATTTTCACTATCAGTTCCTGTTATACACCCACGGGATGTACTCCTTTCCCTTAGAATAGCTATGGCACACTACCAAAAACGTATATAGGTTGTATAACTGACGCTTCACTGAAGAATATTCCACTTCACTCTCGCTACTGGAACTCTTTCAAGAGTTTGAGTTCATATTCACTATCATTATCATCACCATTGCTCACTCTGATCCTGGATATGGGAAAAAATACAAATTTCCTCTTTCGTTCTGGTACAACTGAATGTGAACAAGACGGCCTAGCACCAGAGGTTGAAGGTTGAGGGTCATCTGGATTTTCCTCACTATTACCGAGATTATGGTTATTAGTTTCGGTCACAACTCCTCAAAACCTTGAAAGTCACCTTCACTGACACTTCCATCTGTATTAGTACTGTCACTGGGGAACAAAAGTGTCCCAATTCGCCGAGGAGTGAGGTGTTTTTTACCGCGAGGCATGGTGAACAAGGTGCACTAAAATGCATTCCCACAATGCACCAATGAGTCTCCAATCTTTTTCCTACTGCACACACTGACCACGCAGACCCATTCTCTCACATCTAGGCCTACCACCTTTTCCCACTTGATTTGAAGCGCTAGAATTTATGCTACTAGTACGTCAATAACCCTGGTGTGTAAGACATAGAATTTATGTCGAAAACCCGAGAGGGTTTAATCAGCATTTTCAACAAAAAATTTTTTTTTATTGTATTCTATTACTTCCTTTATTATTTGTTTGTTGGAGTGGAGCAAAGTAACATTTATGAAGGGGTTCAGGAAACCGGCAGCCGGACTTGAGTCCTGGAGATGGGAAGTACAGTGCCGGGACTCTGAAGGAGGGGTGTTAATGTTGCAGTTTAAAAACTGTAGTGTTAAAACACCCTTTGGCAAGACAGTGATTTGGGGTGAATGATGGTGAAAGTTTTTCTTTTCGGGCCACCCTGCCCTGGGGGGAATCAGCCAGTGTGATAATAAAAAAAAAAAATAATTTTTTGTTTGTCTTTTCATTTTGTTTCTACTTTTATTAGGTTCATGATCTGTTGGGAAATTTACTTAACCCTTCGACAATTGGTGTCGTATAGTACGTCTTACGATCCCCGTGTTTTTTACGTATTAATATGCCAAAAATTCTAGCTGCTTCAAATCAAGCGGGAGAAAGCTGGTAGGCCCACATGTGAGAGAATGGGTCTGTGTGACAGTGTGCAGTATAAAAAAAATCCTGCAGCATGCGGTGCATGAGGAAAAAAAAACCCTGTTTTTGGATTAAAACACTGACTTTGAAGTGTATTTTCATATAGTATTTAAAGGTTTTTATTCTCATTTTTTTGGGCTCATTTGATAGAATGGAAGACATATTACAGAAATAGATTTTGATTGGTTTCACAAGAAAAGGACCTTGAAACTAAGCTCAAACTAGTGGAAATGTTTGATTTCTGCAGATGTTCAAGAGTAAATAAATGAGTCACCGTCCAAAAGTGTCCAACTAGTCATTCTAATACATCATGAATGGGTTGAAAATTATTTATACAATTTTACAATATTGCAGCAGTCTGCATAACAGTAAATTTTTTTATTTTTTGTGTGAATAAAAATTCAAAATACATAGAAAGCAAAAAATAATATAAGAGGGGCCTGGAGACATGAAATAATGAAACAGAGAAATGTTATTTTAGTGCAAAGAATGTCTGCATTGTTTATTCTGGACCCTATTTTGAAATTGGCATCTTTTTTAATTTTCCCTGAAATTGGCCAAATTGCCAATTTCTGACCACTTTATTGGATATTGAAATTGGTAATTGGCGGTTTTGTCCTCAGTCGATAGAACAAATGGAGTTCTAAGAAATAGCTATGATTTGGTCAACTGAACAACGGAATTGGGCCCATAATAGGGCTCAAAGTGGGGGAAATCGCAGATGTGTAATATCACCGAGATCGCTAACATCGTAGAGCTTATTCCTTAAGTTTCCCATCAAGTTTCGTACTTTTGGTGTCATTACTATTGGGAAAAGATTCTCTATCATTTCATAAGAAATTCTTTTTTTTTTCTAATATTTTGCGACAGAGACAACTTCAGGATTTTGGGTCTCGACAGTCAAGGGCTGATGTTAAATATCCCACACAGAATAAAACTAAATATTGGAGTGAAACACAGAAGGAAATGAAGACATACCCATTGAAAAGTGAAAACAGGGAAGCCAAAAAGCTCAATTATAGCTTCTGTCAACATATGTCATCCACAACTCTTCACTTCCTATCATTAGATACAGTGGACCCTCAGCAAACAAACCCCCAAAA